AACTAACATGACTACAAACTTGACTATTATTTATGATTATCCATCAACAACCTATATTTCCTAATTATACATTACATTTTTAAATGAACTACACAATCACAATACCTTAATCAAAATCAGAAACACTTATATGTATATATAACAAAATTGACCTTAAATCTCTATCAATAAAGCAAAATCTATACTAATGCAAATTATTCATATCTATATCATATCCCCCTTTAAATGTAAAAGAACATTTATAAACATTTTTTGGGAATATGGGCGCAGTTATTTCTCTCCAAACTGCTTCCTGCTGAATGGGGGCGTCGTTAATTAGGTCTTTCATGGTATAACCTGTGTGCTAGTTTCATCTCAGTTGGCAGTTGAGTGAAGCAATTTTTTGAAGGCGTTCACACCAACCCTTCAGGAGGGCGTGGTCCATCATACCAAATCGGAATAGAAGAAATGAACAGGGTCTCATCCTCTGTGAAAACAAAACAAGAAACTCCTTTCCAAAGCATCATGTCCTTAGATCCAAATTTCAAATTCAAGGCATTTTCAAAATATCTATGTTGGATTAGTTCAGCAGCATTTATAAATAAATATCTTTTAGCAGCTGTCACTCCTTCCTCAGCATTCAAACAATTCAAAGAGAGCATAATAGCATACAGTATCAAGATTCTCTGTGTATTTTCCATCTTTGTGCAGCTTTGTTTTAACCTCTATTTCGTTTATTTTTACTTTTAACTTTTTGCTTTTTGAGACAGGTTCTCTGTATCTTTGACCTGAAGTAACTCTGTAGACCAGGCTGTCTTTGAACTCTCAGAGATCTGCCTGTCTCTGCCTCCCAGGCATTTGGGATTAAAGGTGTACACTACTACACCTTGAACTCACAGAGATCTGTTTGTCTCTGCCTTCTAGGCACTGGGATTAAAGGCGTGTGTTACCACACACAACAACTCTCTTCCTTTTTTTGTTTTTTATTTTAAGAACTTCAACTTTTAGTCTGCATATATTTTTAACACACTTCAAACCATTTAGAAATTTTCTTTGTCTTTGAATCTCTCTTTACTGTATATCTTTCTTTTTCTGACCACATGAATCTTTAATTTACCAAGCAATCTCAGTAGGACTAAAGGCGTGGCTTTGCCAGCTAGATCCAGTCCATTCCTTAGCTTTCCAGCCTCATGGCAGATATACAAGCTGTAGCCATGTTTACTGCAACAACTGCATGGCATTTCAAGGTCCCTGCCAGCAAGTGAGCTACAACAGACAACACTCAAGTCCTCTCGGTAGCCGGCTCTCCTGCCTCAAACAGTCAGAGTTTGCCCTGGCAGGACAGCCCAGAAAGCCGGCATTTTTAAATGGCGCAGCTTTTTTCCTCCTGCGGCTGAAAACCGAAAAGCATGTGTTCAGCTTTTCGTCAACACTGTTTAAGTGTTTCGTGGCAGGACCTCTTAATGAGCTGCAGGCTTTGCAGCTAAAGCTGAGTCAGGAAGCCTCTCTTAGATGAGGCGCTTGCTTGCCTCTAGCAAGCAGAGTAGAACTGAGAAATTGCTGCTACCAAGAAACGAGGCACAATGCTTTCCTTTTGTTCTAGAATTACTTCCCAAGCTGTCTCAGGCTTTATCTGGAAGCAGTTGTCCACGTTGGGCGCCATATAAAGTAATAAGGGCGGCGGCGGGGCTGCGTCCCCAACACCCCGGCCGCCTGCCCAGCTAGCTTATGCCCCGAAATAATTACACGGAAACTGTATTCTTTTAATCACTGCTTGGCCCATTCTCTTCTAGGCTAATTCTCACATATTAATTTAGCCCAATCACCATAGAACTTTAGTCCAGCAACTGATAGAAGCAGAGGCAGAGACCTGCAGCAGAGCACTGGGCTGAGCTCCCAAAATCCATTTGAAGAGTGGGAGGAGTGAGAATATGAGCAGAGAGGTCAAGACTATGATGGGAACACCCACTGAGACAGTTTTTCTTTTCTTTTTTTTAATTAATTAATTAATTTATTTATTAAAGATTTCTGCCTCCTCCCTCATCAGCTCTAAGAGCAATCAGGGTTCCCTGCCCTGTGGGAAGTCCAAGGACCACCCACCTCCATCCAGGTCTAGTAAGATGAGCATCCAAACTGCCTAGGCTCCCCCAAAGCCAGTACCCAATCAGGAGACAGTTTTTCTGAGCTAAGGGGAGCTCACCAACTGTAGCCAGACAGGGAAGGAATCAGCATAGGTCCAAAATAGACCCTCTGAATGTGGGTGACAGTTGTATGGCTGGGGCAGATTGAGGGGCCACTGGCATTGGCACCAGAATTTATCCTTACTGCTTATAGTGGCTCTTTGGGATCCCATTCTCTTTGGATGGATAACTTCCTCAGCCTGGGTATAGTAGGGAGGGCCTTGGACCTTTCACAAAGCAATGTGCCTTACCCTCTCTGAGGAGTGGATGGGGGGAAGGTTCTGGGGTAGTTGGAGAGATTTCAACTCTTATCCCTATATTCTGCACATATTTGATAAAAATTATTTCTTAATACATGTTTCCCCTGTGTCCCACTTATAATGAATAAGTTTCTAGGAATTTTCTGTCCTAACAGAAAATTGTGTTATTGCGTCTTGAAATATTTGTAATACTGATTTTACTGGGTCTTTACATTGCTGTGTGCCCGTAGTGTGGTGCCTGTTGTATAGAGGCTGTAGAAAATAGTCCTTTGATAAAGATGATGACAATTCAAAAATTTGTAGAAATTTCTCTGGCATTATTTCAGGTAGGAACTATTTGTATTGATTAGGTTTTCTGCTCAAGTCTTTTCCAGTCCTCTGGGATACCGATATCTAGAAGGCATTCTCTCAGTGCCCTAAGGAAGAGGTACATTTCCTTTCTCCTGTCATTTTAGTAATGTTTTTTTCTCATTGGGTATTATTGAAGATGGAGGGGGCAGTAGACAAAGAATTAAATGTCCTAATCTTGTTTCTGTTTCTTCTTCTTCTTCTTTCTCCTCCTCCTCCTCCTCCTCCTCCTCCTCCTCCTCCTCCTCCTCCTCCTTTTTCTCCATGAGATAAGGTGTCATTCTGTAGCCCATGGCAATCCTCCTGCTAGTCCACAGAGACCCATGTAATAGGATTATAGTTGGACACCAGCCTCCTAGACTCTATTAAACATTTATGTAGCTTGTTTTTTTCGTCTCTATTGTTGAACTATTTTACCTTCTATTTAAATTCTTTCATTTTTATTTTGTTTTTGGGGAGATAGGGAATCTCATCTTGTAGCTCAAGTTCGCCATGAGCTTGTGAGCCACTTCTCCTTCCCAAATGCTAGGCACATACCACCACGCTTGCCACATGCTCTAATTTTAGATTTAATTGAGTAACTAATTGGTGGTATTGTTTTAACATCTTAAATACCCATTTTTTGTTGTTTTTACTAGTGGTCATATCAATAATGATAGAAATCTTCATTTTTGAGAATTTTGTTCTATCATTACTTTTCATTTTTGCTTATCCCTACTGGTAAATAGTTGCAAAAGCACAAATTACCTTAATTTCTTACTTGCCTTAGGAAGCAGATTCATCACTTTAAACAGTAATGCCTTCCACCTAGTACTATTTGGATAGTCAAATATGGAACACTACTCTACTCAATGCTATTTAAGGTTTTTATGACACATCAGCCTTCCACTTCTACAGTAGTGTTAAAATATATTGTATATTAGAAATCAAAGGTATTGGTACATTGTTAAACTGTGCATTTCTAGAGCACCAGGATTAATTTGCATTGTTTTGTGTTGGTTTATTTTAAATATATAACTACCAAATAAAATAAACAATTAGACATGATGATGAATTTTATTTATTTTTTTCTTTTTTTTCCATTTTTTTATTGAGAAAAGGAGAAAAAAAACAAGTTTCCAACTCCTCCCAGCCTTCCATTTCCCTCCCCCTCCTCCCCCCCTACGCCCCCTCCTCCCACCCTTCTCCCCCTCCCCCCACTCCTCTCCCCATCCCTCTCCAGTCCAAAGAGCAGTCAGGGTTCCCTGCCCTGTGGTAAGTCCTAGGTCCTCCCCTCTCCATCCATTTCTAAGAAGGTGAACATCCAAATTGGCTAGGCTCCCACAAAGCCAGCACATTATGTAGCTTCAAAACCCCGTGCCATTGTCCTTGGCTTCTCATCAGCCCTCATTGTTCGCCATGCTCAGAGAGTCCAGTTTTATCCCATGCTTTTTCAGTCACAGTCCAGCTTTCCTTGGTGAGCTCCCAATAGATCAGCTCCACTGTCTCAGTGGGTGGGTGCACCCTTCGTGGTCCCGACTTCTTTGCTCATGTTCTCCCTCCTTCTGCTCCTCATTGGGACCTTGGGAGCTCAGTCCACATGATGATGAATTTTAAACCAATCAGTTTTCTTCAGGCAAACATTACCATCAGCTCTCTGCCCACTGCCAAGCCTTCCAGGCTGGAAGGCCATGCTCACATAGAAGACCCTGGTAAAACCCAAGCTTCTGTTAAACCCCACAAGCCACAAAAAGATTCCTGGACAGAAGACAGGTGGCCACGGGTGAAACAAAAGATGAGAAAAAGTGGAGTGAGATTTATCAGTGTGAATTGTATACATATAATAAATTGGCTATACAACTGATTTTAATTTAATTAAGTTACTAAACAAAATCGAACAAATAACTTGACTATAATTGAGTAACACGGTTTTCCTAAAATTTCTACCTAGCAGTAATTTCATCAGCATTTGGGAGAAGGAAACTTTTTTGAGGAAGAAAAACTTCATTATTTTGGACATAGTCAATGTGAAATGTTTCTTAGGTTAATTAATCAGTTTCGCTTAGTAAACTTTTTGCTGAATCAAGTGAAGGTTGTTTGGACCTTCTTCACATCTTTATTCACTTCAATGAGAATCTTTATTTGCTTCTCTATGGACTTGACAAAACACTCTTCCTCTGAAACAAGACTTTCTGTGATCAATGTAGCTGTCTAGAAAGCAGCCATATCTTTAATTTTCCTATTGGATTCCTAGGTTAACTTGGATAACTGTGTTGAAGTTGGACGCATTGCCAACACCTACCATCTGACAGAAGTGGATAAATATGTCAACAGCTTCGTCTTGAAGAATTTTTCCGCATTGCTGAGCACTGGGGAGTTCCTGAAACTCCCCTTTGAGCGTCTTTCCTTTGCGCTTTCCAGCAACAGCCTTAAGCATTGCTCTGAGCTAGAGCTCTTCAAAGCTACCTGTCGCTGGCTTCTCCTGGAAGAGCCCAGAATGGACTGTGGCCCCAAGTTGATGAAGAGCATCCAATTTCCGCTGATGACACCACAGGAGCTCCTTAATTACGTGCAAACGGTAGATTTCATGAGAACTGATAATACTTGTGTCAACTTGCTTCTGGAAGCCAGCAATTACCAAATGATGCCGTTTATGCAGCCGGTTATGCAGTCAGACAGGACTGCCATTCGGTCTGACACCACTCATTTGGTTACACTCGGCGGAGTCCTGAGACAGCAGCTGGTTGTCAGTAAGGAATTGCGCATGTATGATGAAAAGACCCAGGAGTGGAAATCTCTAGCCCCCATGGATGCCCCAAGATACCAGCATGGCATTGCTGTCATTGGCAATTTTCTCTATGTCGTTGGCGGGCAGAGCAATTACGACACAAAAGGAAAAACGGCTGTCGATACGGTGTTTAGATTTGATCCTCGCTACAACAAATGGATACAAGTTGCATCTTTAAATGAGAAGCGCACCTTCTTCCACCTCAGCGCTCTCAAAGGATTTCTGTACGCAGTTGGAGGGCGAAACGCTGCTGGAGAATTGCGTAAGTCTGCCTACTTATTGTTTTTAAATTTCTTTTTTTAATTGATTTTTATTGAGCTCTACATTTTTTCTCTGCTCCCCTCCCTGCCTTTCCCCTCTCCCCTTCAGTCCTCCCCCAAGGTTCCCATGCTCCCAAGTTTACTCAGGAGATCTTGTCTTTTTCTACTTATACATAGAATACATTTTTTTTAACCCAGAAATTAGTTTTAGGTCACAAAATAAACAGTTCTAGAAATTTAAAGACAAAAATATACCCAGGGTTGCATTTGTAAACTATTTTTTTCTACGAAAATATCAGATATCGTCTATATATCTTATTTCAGCACATACTGTTGGCCAAGGTCAAAATTATCTCTAATACGTAGTTTGCTGTATTGCAACAACTGTAACACACATACAGACACACACACACACACACAAACACACAGAGTTTTCATATTGAAAGGTCAATTGGAATGTATATTCAATAAATTTATATTCTAATAGCACCTAGGCAGAAGTTTGGCCTAATTCTTCATTCTCCACCTTTAAAAGCCATAAGCTATGGCACTTACTAGGTCAAGTTCCTTTACTGAGGCCTGGCTCTTATTTCTTCATTTCTACAATTGATACCTAGTAGAGGTCACATAGTCAGATGATGTTCTTCCCAGAGTAAATATGAACAGTTCATTTAGAATTAGGTGAAATTGATTAACTTTGATAATTAAGGTCTGTGACCGCTAGTTTCCATTGTACACTTCTTCTGTCTTCCTAACTTCACATTGGTTACGAGTCTATTTTAACAGAAATATTTTGGCTAAATAAATTAACCCCGTAAGTTATATTTTTCTTACTTTGTATTCAATGTGAATAATACAATTTTTCCTATAGTGAATGCCAGGGACACCACATTTTCTCTCTGTCAGCACTGTTATTGTTTAATTTCTTTTATTTTCTAACAATATATATTTTTTAAAGTGTCTACAAAGAGTTTTTGTTGGTTTAAAGTTGTTTGGTGGGTTTTATTTGTTAGTTGTTGTTGCTGCTGCCCCAGTGTGGGATCTTGAACTCAAGAGTATTGTGTATGGTAGCCAAGCACTGTACTACTGTGAGGTAGAGTCCTTGAGGTATCCCAAGCTCCATATTGTCTGTCATGGCTTTAAATACTTACCAGAATCTTTTTTCCTAATATTGTAAGAAATAAAAGAGACTTTCGTAGTCTATAGAGTAAGCTATTTATTGGAGAGAACAACTACTCTCACTTCTGTACTGTCCTATGTATTGAGCACTTTCGTATTAGTGACATGGCCTTAATGTTACCGAGCTTTTTGCTCTGATTTCTCTCTTTTCAAGTTATGATAGTTTTCATAGGACCAAGCTCTATAGATTTGGGAGGGCCTAGATAGCATGATTATTAACTGTGCTGGTTTCCCAATTTATTTCATGCCCTTAGTATAGGGCTGTCACGTCAGGTCTCCGTAGTTTAACCACACACCTTATCTTCATTGTAGTGTTGTAAGTTTATGCGATCTGAAAATGTCTGGACAGTACAAGTGCTGATTTTATGATTTATTGGAAAAGTAACTACGATAGAGATAGTCTTCAAGAGGTGACAGAACTCTAGATAGCTAACCGTGGCAATTTGTGGTCATTTTGAAAAGTCTATTTGCAGACGAGATGGGTCCATTTTTTAGTACTTTCTTGATAATGTGATCATTCCTATGAATTTGCGGCCACTTCATTTTCATTGCATTGCCCCTAATATTAATTAGAAGTATTCTTCTTCTGGGAATTATACTCTGTAAGCCAAGGTGTATCATTATATAAAACTAAGACACTAGAAGCTTCCTTTTTGTCATGCATCCTGCGTTCTGTTTCTCTTATGTTGTGCCTGGATAGTAACAAGAAATAAGTGAATGTATTGGGCAAATGGCATATGAATAGACTACCTTGAACATGCTCTGTACCTCTAATTAGAGAAGGTTGCATTGATGTATTTATAAATACGTATATAGACACACACACATATACGAACAGTTAAAGAGCTAAAGGCCATGAATTTGAAAGCAAGATGGGGTGAATGGAATAGGTTAGAAGGAAGACATGGGAGAAAAAAGATGTAATTATATTTGCTTTAAAAATGATTTTGAAAATAGGCCTGTTGGTGTTGCTAGACTATGATGAGGCTGAATGACACGTACTTGAAGTCTTTGCTCTTGAGATGCTGAGGAAGGATGATCCAGAGGTCAAGACCAAACTAGATCACATAGTGAGACCCTTTCTTTTTCTTTGTTTTCAAAACATGGTTTCTTTTTGTAGCTTTGGAGCCTGTCGTGGACCTCTCTTTTGTAGAGCAGGGTGGCTTTGAACTCACAGAGATTTGCCTGCCTCTGCCTTCCAAGTGCTGGGTGCACCACCACACCTGGCTGAGACCCTGTCTTTAAAAAAGTTTCATAAAGCTTAACCTAAGGATAGATAACTACTTTAAAACATATTATATTGTATTATCTACTTGAGATGCTATAGATTAATTTTAGTTTTATTTCACAAATTGCAATTTTTACAACTGTTTGTCTGGTTACAATACAGGTATTAACCTGCCTTGTTACAAGACTGCTCTAGTTGTAATTTAAGATCTCTCCCTTAGCTGGGCATAGTAGTGGGTGGCTTCAATCCCAGGCAAAGACAGGTAGATATTTATGAGTTCGAGGCTAGCTTGATCTACAGAGAGAATTCTAGGATACAGAGAAAGGACAGACAGGACAGACATGGAAACCAGGGCGTGGGGCATGGAGATAGAGAAATCTCCCATCATTTATAACTTATAAAATTATTCCTAAACTTTTGTAGGAAATGATTATTTTCCAATCAGTATCAATGTCAAATACATTTTTTAATTAAATATTTTAAGGTACAGTATATTGGAGTTTTTAAATTTGTATGATTGATACACTAAGTGCATTTAAATTGAGAGTCTTGCTTCCAGAAAAGACTTCAGACCAGAAAGATTTTCTAAAGCTAAACTCACGATTTCCCTCATTTTCTGCCCCTAACTAGCACTCCTTTGGAGCTCCACCTATAATCTTTAAGTGAGCGGGAGAGTAGACTGCCTCCTGTTGTCCTCTGTCGTTCTGTGGAGGTAGCCAAACTAGATCTGTTTGTCCTTGGTTTTCCTCTTCCCCGTGAATATAGTGAGTTCTCCTGAATTCTATCCATTAACAATTATCCCTTTATATGAATCCAAATACGACTTGTATTGGTTGCCCTGTCTAGTTTTGCTGCTAGCATTGTTTTTGCACCAAAGACGTCTAAAGAAAGTCTTATATAAACTTCTGATATTTCATTCAGAGACTGGATGGGTTTTATTGTTCTTTGTTGGAATTCCCCTTATACAGACTTGCCAGCATCTTTTCCTGTAAATGAGCATCTCCTCTTTAACTCATTAAATTTCCACACTCACATGCCTATGTAAATAGAAAAGGTGATGGGAAGAGGATGGCAGACTCAGGGATTGGTGGGGAAAGTCTCTTAATGATTTAATGTGTTCATTAGTGCCAGTGCATTTTGTATTCTTCATAGACACAATATCCATTGCCCATGCATAATTATAAAATGAAAACAGTGGCAAACTTTGTAAGTCATGTTAGATCGTTTTAATATACTGGACCTTTTAAATTTCTCTCATGAAGTGTGTAGGGGCTGGCTAAGGAGAAAATTATCTAAGCCTGTAGTACACAAAACAAAGACAGTATACCTGCATGTCTGTTATATTGCTGGATTATAATTTCTTGGACATTCTGCTTTCCCTGATATTGGTTGCAATAGGAAAGTAGGATCAGTGTATAGGAGCTGCCACTTAAGTGAAAAGGGATTCTTTTATTTCTGGCATCTTTCAGAACAGTCCTTTGGTTCTTCTTTTCCAACCTTTTAAACATGTAATGTCCTATAAGAAATTGGCCTTTCATTGAGGTTTTCCGTTTTGAAGAAGACTATAATGGTTCAGATTCTTTCATTTAAATTACATATTTTAAAGAAGTTTTCAAATGATGAATTAACAGGAAAAACATGTTAAAATTTCAAATAAATATGCAGTAAAATTACTAAAATGTATTCAATGAGCCCTGTATCCTGATTACTAAACAATATCCTCAGGCTCTGGATCCAGAATCTGTTAGGGCTTGCCCTGCATCTTGAGAGAATCATCTCAGAAAATGAGGGTCTCTGAGAGAAAGGAAATAAGCATCCTAATTATAGTTATACAACAGAACCTCAGACCACTGAAGTAGAGTTTCTAGTTTAGGGGTCAGGACACTTCTGTCCAGTCCCGGAAACACTATTTATAGCTTAGCTTTGTGGGATATCAATTAGTCACAACTAATGAGCGTCACTCTTGTAGAGCAAAGCACCTGTAGACAATTTATAACCAAATATTTGAGCCTCGGTTCCAATAAAACTTTGTTTATGACCACCAAAATTGTAATTTCATATCATTTTTATGTTTCAAAATAATCCTTTGGTTCATTTTTCCAATCCTTTAAAATATCTATCCGTCTGTCTGTTTATCTAGATATCTATGTTTTTTAAGATAGGGTTTCTCATTATAGCCTTGGCTGTCCTGGAACTAGGTCTGTAGACCAGGCTAGCCTTGAACTCACAGAGATCCACCTGCCTCTGCCTCCCGAGTTCTGCGATTAAAGGCGTGAATCACCACCACCCAGCTCCCAACCTTTAAAACATTTTAAAGTCATTTATATTGCTGCATTGTAGGCCATACAGAGATGGGCAGGGATTGAATTTTGCTGACAACTACCTTGCATTCCCCGGGTGCTTATGGTTGTAACCATTACTTTATGGTTCAAGCCCCTTGCCTTCTGCTAACTCTGCCGTCCTCCGCTTGTCAGTCTTAGGGTAGTATCTGTATTTACTTATTGCACAAAAGTGGAAGACAAAAACGAGGACAATGTACATCAGATTTTGAATCAGCTGCATTTTATTTTCATAATGAACACTGATTGATTTTCCTAATAAAAACAGTTGCACACAGAAGAACTTTAAAGTTTGATAGTAAAGCTAAGGGAATTTAAATATATAAAGGAAATTGATGGCTCAGCTGAAAAAAAAAAGGAAGTTTCGGGTTGATGGGCAGTTACCCAGTTACTGAGATGAATTCCCATCATGCAGTGAGAGGCTCCTGAATGAGAAACTATGGATGGATTCTTACAACCCCTATTAGAAAAATGCAATTAACTTACGGACAGAGGAACAGCATTATCTCATCATGTAAGAGAATATTAACAACCACAGATTAGCTATTTAATTTCTAACACTACCATAAAAAGAATAAGAGAAAATAACAGAAACTGCATCAAGACAGGTAGAATTAGATATTGGAGAGGGTGGTTATGATGGAGAAGCTTCAAAGTTCAAGGAAAAAGTGTTGCATTAAGAGAAGTATATAGCTACTCGGGAGAAGGTGATACCTGGAAGTCTTTTTTAAATCCCCTGCTTGTCTGTAAGATTAGATGGCTTTCTCATAGAAATCTGTCCATTTATTACTTTTCTAATGTTGCATGGTGCACAATCCATTAAGTTCCCTTGTGTATGCGTGAGAGGGTCAGAAAGCTGGGAGAGAACAGTGTACACTCAGTGTGTTTGCTTGCCCAGGTGACAGTCCCTGTGAAATTAGTTTTTCATATTTTGATGTTTCTTCCTGTGTACTATGTCAAAATAGGTACTCAGAGTTGATTGGTTATTCCTTGTTTGTGATTTTTTTCCTTTTCTGTATTTTTAGAGCAAAGAAATTTAAGAAATGTCAAATTAAAAAGTTACAAACAAATGGCAGAAAAGAATCCTTAGTGATTTTTACAGTTCTATGATGTGTTAAATATTATATTGTATAGTCTAATATAGCATGTTTCATATGAACATAGTCTCAAAAATTATAAAAGCCCCTCTGAGGTCTCTCATTGATTTATGCATTTTCAGAAATTAGTATATTATTACCCTACTAAAAAGGAAAAAACTTGAGATAAAAATCATTGTATCTCTTTTTCTTAACAGCTACAGTAGAATGTTACAATCCAAGAACAAACGAATGGACCTATGTTGCCAAAATGAACGAACCTCACTATGGCCATGCTGGAACCGTGTATGGAGGAGTCATGTATATTTCAGGTAGATAATTACACAACATAATACTATCTATACTTTTAACTAAATGATCTCTCCATATAGTGCCAGTAACAATAACAATTCTTAGAAAATACTAGGCAAAAGATAATTAATATTTTAGGAGTAATTTTGTGTGTACATTTGCATGTAAATGCTTTGAGCATTCTGAACACATAAGCTAACAGCAAACCAATTCAGCTATACACGTATAATTTATAAGAAACTGGAAAGCATTTAGACTTGCCAGTTCATTTTTTTTAAAGCCTCAATACTTTGTATTCTAGTAAACATCAATCATTCTTTGTTAATATGTAGTAATTTGTTTTCCTTAATATTTGCCTAAGTCATGTTAGGAAATATTTCATTATGTAATATATAAGCCCTGTTGTGCATAAAACATGCATAATACTCTGTTTTAGTGTAACCCATCACACACACATACAAACATATATATGTATATACATGTACATATATATCACATAAACACACAATATTCCCTTAGTATTATAATGGAGTTCTACTGTGGTGCCATTATTTGCAGAGATATAGTTCTATAAAAATGCTAAAATGGCCCAAGTTTGTTCAGAATTCAATTGATAACTTTCATTCTCAAATGGTTTGTGCCTGAATTGGCCTTCTATAGAATTCAGAAGTATGTCTTAACCTAATGATCACCTTTGATACTGACATTTAAGTTTTTAGACAATTTTATTTATCTTCCCCTTTTCTCTTTCTCTCTCTCTCCCTTCCTTCCTTTCTTCCTTTCTTTCTTCCTTCTCTCCCTCCCTCCCTTCCTTTATTTTTCTTTTCTTTTTTCATTCTTTCTTCCCTAGTTCAGTCTGCCTCTGACAGCCTGCTCCCCCAGGGAAGCAGTTATGTTCTTAGAAGAACAAAATTGTTAAGGGGATGATAAGTCACAGAGCGCTGCATTGTGATGTCTGTAATCAAAAGGGGTTAGTGAAAGGCCTGTAGCATTTGATCAGCAGGTTTCCAGGGTTCAATTCACGAGTGACCATGGAGCGAGCATCTTCTATCGACAGAGTCATAAAGGAGATCATATTGCATGACCTACCTGTTTCGTGTGTTTCAGTTCTCTACTGCCAGAACAAGAGCTCCCAGTTCTCAGGGGCAAAGCTGACATTTGAATGGTTTCAGGAGCACTTTTCTGTAACTGGTGTATGTTTCAAAGAAAAATCATCTTCCACATTGATATCAGACTAGGAACCAACCAAGCTAGTTTTATAACCCAAAAGAAAACTAACAAAAAAAAAAACCACGAAAACAATGATTTGCTGTCTAGTAGGCTTTAAATCATAGAAAGCTATGCTTCATTGATTGTTGCCTTGCTGCTTGATAACTCTTCAAATGGTACAGCTAAAGATTAGCATAGCTCTGCTCCTTGTCTGCCGAAGGTAGAGACTGATACCTTCATTCCATAGGTTGGATTATGTAGCTTAGTCTTAATCAGTTTGTAGGTTATAAAGACCTAATATACCAACAACCAGCTGATATATATATATATATATATATATATATATATTTCTCATAATGTTCAGAATTCTAATGTTTTTGCTTTGCAAAGCAGATAGCAGATGTCACCTTCTTCCTGCTCACCCCAAACTATAAAACCAACAATTTTGTGTAGTCTTCCTGGTTGGTGTGCTACTGGCGTGAGACTTTCAACACTTTTTAGTAACTATTTTGCTTCATATTCCTAATCCTAATGTGTTAACTAGAATGGGTATTCTGATTTGGAAAAGGAATTCATGAGTACCCAGATTTTGAAGGGCTCTAGCCTGGTGCTTAGTCTACCCACTAAAATGTCACAACTGACTGATTCTTTTTAGTTCAGATTTACTACTAACTCAACTCTAATGGTTGCCAAAATATATTTCCATTCGTTGAAGCTTCTTTAGTATGATCAATCTCCATTTGAGAAAGTTATTGTAATAATATAAGACCTTTTTCATTTGTCTTAAAATTTTGAGAATGATATTTTCTTTATTTTTTGTTAAAAGAATATAGAGTGACGATATTTATGAATTTACTATTTGTAAGCCGCGATCTGTTGTAAAAGGTAGCTAAAAGTTAATTATCTATGGGAGAACCTTACTATTACATTTTAATGACCTCTTTGCCTCATACCTATTATTTTCATTCTCTAGGAGGCATTACCCATGACACTTTCCAAAAGGAGCTCATGTGCTTTGACACTGATACTGACAAGTGGACCCAGAAGGCACCAATGACCACTGTCCGAGGCCTCCACTGCATGTGTACAGTAGGAGATAGGCTCTATGTCATTGGGGGTAACCATTTCCGGGGAACCAGTGATTATGACGATGTCCTGAGCTGTGAATACTACTCACCTATCCTTGACCAGTGGACCCCAATCGCTGCCATGTTAAGAGGGCAGAGTGATGTTGGGGTCGCTGTCTTTCAGAATAAGATCTATGTGGTTGGTGGATATTCGTGGAATAATCGCTGTATGGTTGAGATAGTGCAGAAATATGATCCAGAGAAAGATGAATGGCATAAGGTTTTCGACCTTCCGGAGTCCCTTGGGGGTATTCGAGCTTGTACGCTCACAGTTTTTCCACCTGAGGAAACCACACCCTCACCTTCTAGAGAGTCCCCTCTTTCTGCACCCTGATCATCCTTCCAGTTAAAATGCTATATTCCTCTCTTTGCAGTGTGTCACGATTATCTTCTCCCCCCCTTAAGTAGTGTATCTGTTAGAATTAGCCTCCAGTAATTGATACAGATATTTGAAAAATTGATATTGATGTTACTTGTGATGTTTGTATGGCCTAGAATGTTTATAAAGTGGTAACAAACCATCCTGGAAATATCTCCCATAGAAGCTGATGCTTAACATGAAAAAAAAGAGTATTGTCTATAAAATGTTTCTTCAGTACTTTCTTCATGCTGTGTGCTGGGCATAAAGTATTCGTCATCTTACATTATAATAAGCTAAGTTAAAGGTGGATTATAGTCAGTGTACATCTGTGCTCACTAGGCTTCAGAGTAAAAACCTTTTCTTTCATCTTTAACTGTAAGATGTCAAAGGGAGGCAACCTGCTCCAGCAAGAAACAATGCGCGAAAGGTTGCCAGCTCGCATGAGCTACTCCCTCTTTTCATAAAGTATTTTTGACACATCTGTCAACCCACCTGACTGTGTGGGTGCATTGAGAACACACCAAGTTTCTTAGACACACAGGAGAAATAACAGAAATTCACAACACTAATTTTGTGAGAGGGAAGCATGACCCCTCTGCTTATAAGACTCAATTAGGGGTTTTTTTTAAGTGTGTATAAATATACATCCACAAACTTATATCAAACACAAATTTTTAAAAATTGAGTATCAGGTCAAATAAACGTGAAATTAAAAAATCTTCTAAAAAGCAGCTTCAATGAAAAATGGGGATTCAGTATGTCCATATCGAATGCATATATGTAGAACCATACTGAATTTAGGTGGATAAGGGCTAGAAATTTTGAGCAACTAAATTTGTCACTTGACCAAATTTTATCTTAAAAATCTGTATTCTCTTCCTTCTCCTTTGCTGTTGAGGTAACTTACCTATTCTGTGTATTCTGTGTACTCTCGGTTCATGAGGTTATTTAGCACAAAGTGTAGCAGCTTCTCCAGAAAAGCTGCCTTTGCTCTATGATGTTCATGTTTTCCCTTCTTTATTCAATAAAAAAATCAGTGTTGCTCTGCTCCGTGCTGTCCCGTTATTCTCTGATTTGACTTCCATTTATTAAAAAAAACTTCCGAGGGACAAGAATGAGGAAGTTGTGTGTGTGTGTGTGACATTTATTCAAAGAGGAAAGACTTGGGCCAGCCCTCGCCTCACTGTGAAGACACTGCTTGTGGCCTTTGAGGAATTAGTTTGTGAAGAAGCTAATTGGCTGTTACTCAGCTCCAGTGCCATGCCTGGGTAAACTACAGAAGCAATTACATGCCCCCCTCACTTTCTTTTACCTTCTCTTCCTTCCCTGCTGTGAACTACAAAATTAGGTCCAGAAACCATGACCCGGTCGGTGAGGGAAATGTAGCTATGACAGACACAGTCACAGGAATGCTGGCTTCTGGTGAGGTGTTGCCACTCTGGTGGAGTGGCGTTTGCTTGTGTTGTACTTCAAGCGTGTTAGTATGTACAGCATGGGAAAAGGGAGTCGTCTGGGTAGGTGCTATCTATAGGCGAGCAGGCTCAGGCTGCAAGCATCTGAAAAGAGGGAATTGCAGTGGGTAGTTTTGAATAATACTGGTCGATTGTTCATAAACACTTGTACTTGAGTCAGAGGAAGAAGTCTTTGCCAATTTCAAGCTTGGCCCCTATGGGGAAAGGCTTTGCCAATTTCCCATGGTTCTGAGGCCTTCATTCTTGTCATGGCTGTGTCCATGTCAACACTATGCATTCACTCAGGACTTTACTAACTCAGGGTTCTTTTGTTCCCTACACCCCCTGTCCCATCCCTTTCCTTTTTCCTTGCTTGAGAAGTTATTTCTTAATATATTGCTCAGGTTGCCCTTAAATTTCTGGGCTCAAGCCATCTTACTGCTTCAGCATTCTAGAAGCCCAGGCTCATGCTACCTTACTGGGATAAAGGGCAGTTCTGTTTCTGAGAATAATTTCTCTGGTGCTCAAGACCCATCTTGTCCACTCAAGTGGAACTATGTAAAACAACTTCTTTTTTATTTATTTTTATTTTAAAAAAGAAAACCAACTATCTTTTTTTTTTCACTATATGGAAAAAAACTTCTAAGATTTTTTTTCCTAACCTAGGGTTTTAAGGAAAAAAAATTACCATCTCTTCTACTTCATCTACAAATGGTTGAATGTAAACTGAACCCAAACCTTAGGGCTATTCCAAAACACAACTAATGAGTCATCCAATTTCTTACCCAGAGGGATAGATTGGCAGCATTGATTTCATCACTTCCATCTTGAGTTAAATATAGTTAAGGAAACGAATTTCCCATCAGTGGTACTTTTGGATATTGTTAGAAGAAACTAGCATAAATTGGAAAGATTCCTCCCCTCAGGCAAGGTTTTTCCTAAGGGAGCACAACTTCTCTGGGGATTTTAGTTTTTCTCTACACGGGCAGATTCTGCAACATTTATTTTAGCTAATACCTCCCTGAAAGTGGAGTTGTATAAAACACAACTAATGATCCTGAAGGATTCCAGGTGGGTATTCCCATTCGGGTCACTACATTCCAAGAAGGAATATTCCAGGATTCTTTGCATCCTGAGGCTATCCATCCCTGATTCCACAGAGTCCTCCCTTGCGTTGGTAGGAGGAGAATGGAGCGTTACAGGTGTGAGTGCTGGATGGTCAATCTGAGAAGAGGCATGCATCCCTTCTACTCACATGCTATTGGCTGGCCAGCAGGCTTGTGGCTGCAGTGGTTCATCTGGAAAGAGGCATGCATCACTTCTAGCCGTATTTTACTGGCCAGAAGCCCTTTAGTTACATAACAACACAAAGGGAATTGGAAAGAAAGAAGAGGAAGTGAGGTTGGTGATCTCCTAGCAGCCTGTCACAGGGACTAATGTAGAGCATATGCAGTTCTCTTTTCTGCAGCCATGCCATGTGTTATTTAGAAGCAATTAATTTCACACGTTACTGTAATAGCTATTATTAGTTCAAACAGCTGGGGAATCATTACACCTTTCTTTGTCAGCACGTTAACTATTTTCTCTTTCGAAAGGAATCTTTGCCACTGGTCATTGGTCATTTACAGGCATTTCTTGCCCTTGACTGTTGTCCTAATTCGAGTTAATACTGTTGTGACCAAACACCATTACCAAAGCAATTTGGGGAGCAAAGGACCTCTTTGGCTCACACTTCATCACACTGTTCATCTTTGGTGGAAATCAGGACAGGAACTCGAACAGGGCAGAAACCTGGAGGCAGGAGCTGATGCAGAGGCCATGGAGGAGAGCTGCTTACTGGCTTGCTTCCCATGGCTCACTCAGCCTCCTTTATTAGAGAACCCAGGGCTACCAGCCCAGGATTGGTCCTACTCACAATGGCCTGCCCCATCAATCACTAATTAAGAAAATGCCCTACGTCTGCGTCTCCTGGAGGCATTGTCTCAACTGAAGCTGAAAGGGTGCCTCTTTTCAGAGCCCTCTAACTTGTGTCAAGTTGACATGAGACCAGCCAGCATACTATATCTTTGTAGGCTCTTGCTATACTTGAATTTTCAAAAGGCTCATGTTTTTCTTGGACAAAATAGCTGGGGTCTAAAAGGCAAGATATTGTTTGTTTGTTTCTATAATTTTTACAATATTCATGTGATTAGTGTTTTCCTAAAAAGGTAGAATTATGTCTTTAAAACTTTTCCTTATTTTACAGTCACTGGTGGAGATGAAACCCAAATAAAAGGAGTCAGCATTTTGAAAGTGTTTCTGAACTTATCTCTCAGAGTCTAGAGGGCAGTTAAATAGTGGCTTATTGTTATTAATTAATTCCCAGCCTGATCACAGTTTCCCCTCCCTCCTCCCTTTTCAGTCCCTCCCCAACTTCTTAACCTCCCCCCACATCCACTTCTACTCCTTTCTCAGAAAAGGGCAGGGCTCCCATGACCATCAGTCAGTCACGGTATATCAAGTTGCAGTGAGACTAGGCACTTCCTCTCCTGTTAAGGCTGGATGAGGCAACCCAACAGAAGGAAAGGTGATGTAGGAGGGTCATCTGCCTATGTGTTACTTTCATTGGTTAATAAAGACACTGCCTAGGCTTTTTGATAGGACAGGATTTACATAGGTAGAGTAGATTGAACAGAATGCTGGGAGAGAAAAACAGAGTCAGTCAGACGCCACTCTTCTTCTACCCAGGACAGACGCTGGTTAGACTCATGCCGGTAAACCACAGTCAAGTGGTGATACACATTAATAAAAATGGGTTAATCAAGATGTGAGGGTTAGCCAGTAAGAGGCTAGAGCTAATGGGCCAGGCAGTGTTTAAATGAATACAATTTGTGTGTTGTAATTTTGGGTGTAAAGCTAGTCGTGCGGGAGCCGGGCGGGACAAAAAGCAGGCCTGCCCACAGCTCCTTCTACAGAAAGGGTCTCAAGAGCATGTAACAAAGTCAGAGACAGCCCCTGTTCCCTCTGTTAGGATTCCCAAGAAGAAAACCAAGCTATACAGCTATAATATATATGCAGAGGCCTAGATCAGTTCCATGCAAGTTCTCTGGTTGGCGGTTGAGTTTCTGCGAACCCCTATGAGCCCAGGTTAATTGATTCTGTGGGTTTTTCTATGCTGCTTTTGGCCGCTTGTGCTCACATAACTCTTCCTCACCTTCTTTCCCAGGATTCCCTAAAGTTCATCTAATGTTTGGCTGTGGGTTTCTGCATCTATTTCCATCAGTCTCTGGGTGAAGTTTGATGACAATGGGCTAGGCAATGATCTATGAATATAACAGGATATCATTAGGAATCATTTCAATTATGCTGATTTCTCAGAAAATTGGAAATCGACCTACATCAACACCCAGCTAAACCACTCTTGAGCATATACCCAAAGGATGTTCAATCATACCACAATGACACTTGCTCAACTATGTTCATATTAGCTTTATTCCTAATAGCCAGAAAGTGGAAACAACCTAGATGTTTCTCAACCAAAGAATAGATAAGGAAAATGTGCTCCATCTGTACAGTGGAGCATTACTCATCTGTAAAACATGATG